GTGCAATTTATATTTTATAAAAATATTTCATTTTAAAAATTATTGATTTTAAATAAATGTAAATAACTAGTTAAATATATAAACCTATAATATATTATTTTAAATACTAAAGAGAGGGACAAATCATATCCGAAACTTTTAAATACATATGATAAAAAGGACACTATAAATTACGAGTGTTTAGTTTGTTAAAATTATATCTAAGGGCAAGGAGTGAGGAAAAAATAATATTTAATTTTTTTTTATCTTTAAAATTTATTTGCAACTGTCAACTGTATATTGACAATTAGCAAGTGAACTGACTAAACAGGAAATAATGATAGGCATAGACATTCTTGTTTAAATTTATTTTTTTTAAATTTGTTATCGTGCAAAAAGTTTATTTACCATATGTTTTATCAAACTGTAAATACTGGTTGAAATATTTGAGTCCTTCATTTCCAAAGCGAACCCTAACCATTGCTAACAATTTTTGAGGAAACGCAAAAAAATAGATTAAGAAATTCTTTATTTGGAGAATAAATTTCCGAAAATAGCTGATTATTCGAGTAATAATTAACAAACATTGAAAACTAAATATGGTACCTTTTAAAAATAAAATAAATTCTAAACTCGTTTTGAACAAAAACATTGATTAGGATTCTATTTGCAGAAAAGAAATTGAGTATGATTCGGGAAGAAAAACTTTTTGTTTGCAATAAAATAAATTTATTTTTAATTTTTATTTGAATAAATCTGTTAAAAAAGATTTTGATTATTTTTTATTTTTTTTTATAAATACTTCTGAAATTCGAGTTTGAATACATTCCTTGAAAAAAAAACTGTTAGTTTACCAAAAAAACAATTTTTACACCACTTATTTTAATATTTAGGTTCGTTATTAAATAAAAATTATATAGAGCTCAGAGGCTGAAGTTATATGGTTCAAATAGGCTGTTGAAGTTAAGAGGTTTTTTTTGCTTACCGTCCATATTATAAGTATGGTTCGTGTTATTATGATTTGCATTGATAATTATTACCGAAATTCGCTCCATTAAAAATGCGTTTTAAAACTGTTTGTAATAATCCAATTTTAGCCAGACAATAATTTCATTTCAAAGTTGAGCAGTAAATGAAAGTTGCATGATGCGCGTGCCAGATATATATTTTTTTAAATTTAATTTATTTATATATTGTATAGTATGCATGTGTTTTAGTTGTTATTTTGATGATTTTAGTTCATTTGTTTATATACATTTACTTTTAATATTATTATTTTCGGTATTATTTATTTTATTTATTGTAAATAGAGTGTGAATGTGCTCTGTGAACACTATTATGACATTTATAATAGTTGTGACAGATTGTAATATTTCTGAATAAATTTTAAAAAAAGTATTTATATTCTCTTTATGGATGGTGTGATTGTACTCTTTTCTTATTATTACGAATGTCCTGTATTGTAATAGAATGTAATATTACTCAATAAAAAAAAAAACATAAGTGTGTGTCTTAGACCTCACGATCGAAGTGAATACATCAAAAAGGCGAGATTAATAATACGAAATACAAATTGTAAATAATAGTTAATTATTAAGAGGACAAAATGCTGAACATTTTCCTCACTATAACAGTATGCTGGTCTGAATTTTAGTTTCTGAGATATTTTAATCTATATCTTCAATAAAACTCATTTGTCATTTATTTTTCGACACTATTTTGCTCCTTTTCTTCTCCCTAACACAACGTAGCTTTAAGACGAAATTTTGAATAATAGCTCATTTCAAAGAGAATGAAATGATGAACATTCCCCTAGCTTACAATATGCAGGTCCTTCTTGTAATACATTGCACAGAATTACCTGTGAAGGTAAAATACATATATTTATAGTTTTAATGCTAAAATTAAGGTAGGCTTAGACATTTCGAAAACTATGGAAAACAATTATCTAACTTAACTCATAATAATATTAGCGCTAAGCCCAACATTTTTTTTCTTTTGTTTCTGAAAGTAGAATACAAGAAAAATATGAAGTGGAAAATATAGAAAACAAGAAACAAAAGCAAAGAAAAAAAATTAACCACGGAATGTGCTTAATAAATAAAAACAACAACAAGGCAAAATTAATAATATGAAATATAATTTTTTTTTGTTCAATATTCTCAAAGTAAGAAAATAGACGATTATAGTTGAATATAAACTATTTTTTAATCAATATTATTTACATTTACAATATATAGAATTATAATTTTGTATCGATTACTCTAGTCATACCTATCATAGTTTTCGACACTACGTTGTTTTTTTTCCTCTCTAACATGGCGTCGCGTTATAATAAAGTTTTAAATAATAGCTCATTACAGAGATAATGCAATGCCGAAAATTTTCCTCGCTTACAGTATCGAGCTGCAATTCTTAGTTTCTGAAATATTTTAATACATATGTTCAACTAAACTCGGTATATTTCACCCTCTCCGACTCTTAAGGTGTTGGGTTAAGATTCAATTATGAAAAATAGCTAATTACGAAGACGATAAAATCTTGAACAATTCCATACTTTCAGCATGGAGGTACAACTTTTAGTAGTTTCTGAAATATTTTCAATCACTTCTTCTATAAAATTTGTTATCATTTGATTTCCGACACTATTTTTCTCGTCTCGTCTTTCTAACACGGTGTCGATTTAAGATACAATTTTGAATAATGTCTCATTGCAAAGAGAATGAAATAATGAAAATTCTCCTAGCTTACAATATGCAGGTCCGATTTTTAGTTTCTAAGATATTTTAATCCATATGCAAAAACAATTAGTCGACTCCAGACGACTTTACCCGAGCTTTACAAATTGAAGATCTGACGGTTCATTTTATTTCACTCACCATAAAAAAAAAAAAAAAAAAGAACAGAATTTAATATTAATAAATAAAAAAAAACATAAGTGTGTTTTTTAGACCTCACAATAGAAATGAATCATCAACAAGGCGAGATTAATAATATGAAATATAAATTATAAATAATAACTATTATTAAGCTAATTATTATGAGGACGAAATGCTGAACATTTTCCTCACTATAACAGCATGCTGGTCCGAATTTTAATTTATGAGATATTTGAATCTATATCTTCAATGAAACTCGTTTTCTTTTGTTTTTCGACACTATTTTGTTCCTTTTCTTCTCTCTAACACAATGTTGCGTTAAGATAAAATTTTGAATAATAGCTTATTATAAAGCGGATGCAATGCTGAACATTTTCCTCGCTTACAGTGTGCAGGTCCGCATTTTAGTTTCTGAAATATTTTAATCTATTTCTTCAACAAAACTCGTTTTTTTTTTTCGACACTATTTTGTTCCTTTTTTTCTGTTGCGTTAAGATAAAATTTATAATAATAGCTCATTACAAAGAGGATGCAATGCTGAACATTTAACTTTCTCAGATATTTTAATCTATATCTCCAATAAAACTCGTTGTAATTTAGTTTTTGATACTATTTTCTTCCTTTTCGCCTCTCTAACACAACGTTGCGTTAAGATAAAATTTTGAATAATAGCTCATTGAAAAGAGAATGAAATTATGAACATTTCCCTCGCTTACAGTATGCTGGTCCAAATTTTAGTTTCTGAGATATTTTAATCTATATCTTCAACAAAACTCGTTTTTTTTTTTTTGGTTTTCGACACTATTTTGTTCCTTTTCTTCTCTCTAACACAACGTTGCGTTAAGATAAAATTTTTAATAATAGCTCATTTTAAAGAGAATGAAATGATGAACATTGTCCTTGCTTACAGTATGCTGGTCCGAATTTTAGTTTCTGAGATATTTTAAGCTATATCTTCAATAAAACTCGTTTTCTTTTGTTTTTCGACACTATTTTGTTCCTTTTCTTTTCTCTAACACAACATATCGTTAAGATAAAATTTTCAATAATAGCTCATTATAAAGCGGATGCAATGCTGAACATTTTCCTCGCTTACAGTATGCAGTTCCGATTTTTAGTTTCTGAGATATTTTAATCTATATCTTCAATAAAACTCGCTGTCATTTATTTGTCGTCACTATTTTATTCTTTGTTTTCTCTCTAACACAACGTGGCGTTAAGATAAAATTTTGAATAATAGCTCATTGCAAAGAGAATGAAATGATGAACATTTCCCTCGCTTACAGTATGCTGGTCCAAATTTTAGTTTCTGAGATATTTTAATCTATATCTTCAACAAAACTCGTTTTTTTTTTTTTTTTTGGTTTTCGACACTATTTTGTTCCTTTTCTTCTCTCTAACACAACATGCGTTAAGATAAAATTTTGAATAATAGCTCATTTTAAAGAGAATGAAATGATGAACATTGTCTTTGCTTACAGTATGCTGGTCCGAATTTTAGTTTCTGAGATATTTTAATCTATATCTTCAATAAAACTAGTTTTCATTTGGTTTTCGACACTATTTTTTTCCTTTTCGCCTCTCTAACACAACGTTTCGTTAAGATAAGATTTTGAATAACAGCTTATTATAAAGCGGATGAAATGCTGAACATTTTCCTCACTTACAGTATGAAGGTTCGATTTTTAGTTTCTGAGATATTTTAGTTCATATGATTAATAAAACTCATTTTCTTCTGTTTTTTCGACACTATTTTGTCCCTTTTTTTCACTCGAACACAACGTAGCGTTAAGATAAAATTTCGAATAATAGCTCATTTTAATGAGAATGAAATGATGTACATTTTCCTTGCTTGCGGTGTGCAGGTCCGATTTTTAGTTTCTGAGATATTTTAATCCATATGCAAAAACAATTAGTCGACTCCAGCCGACTTAACCCGGGCGTTACACATCGGAAATCTGACGGCTCAATCTATTACACTCATTATTAAAAAAAAAGACAAAACATGCCTAAAGAGGTTTTCACTTCAGAAAATATATTGTTGTGTGATAAACGCTGCTACAGATTTTTTTTTTTAGCTTATATATTAACTGTTTTTGATATTGTAAATTTCCAAATTTCTTTGATGAACTATTTCCCTACCTTCTGGTTCCGGATGAGACGAGAAGCCATCGTTGTGGTATGCCATCCTGAGAGGCGACAACCTCTGAAGCAGAGATGCAACTAAACCAGACCATTCACACCGTCAGTAAAAAGTGTCGAGAAAACGCGATAACGAACTTTTGTCATTTGCGTTGCCAGACACTTAGTCGTAGCGCCATGACATCGAAACGCGTACGTTTGGTGTACACAGTCTGTTCTTCGAATTTATATTGATTAGACTGACCAACGATTGTTAATTGTTTCAAGGTCTGAATATCTCCAGAATATGTTACAAGTGTTCCTATATTTGGTTAATTGATTAACCATTGAACCATGTTTTTGTGAGGAATTATATAGTTTTTGTCATTTGTTCCTATATTTTGTTCTTGGTATTTGTGACTATATTACTGATTATTTCAAGGATTATTTTTAAAAAACTGATGCATTAATAGGTATTTGTTATCTTAATATGTTATTTCTCAAAGACGTTTTTATTTTTATTTTGTTATGTAAGTAAACGAGGTTTCATTAACCTATCAATATTCGTTGATCCATCTTTGTTTTTTCAGAACGATCTGAACTAAATATATAAACAATCTATATGTTATACATTTAAATCTAATAAATATGAACACTTGTTAAGAAAAAATATCAATAAATGAATTATTAATTTTTAAAAAAATCTGTTGCGCGCAACACACAACTTTCACTTACCGCATACTTTAAATAGCAATAATGTTCTAGCCATGTTGGTATATTATAAAATTTTTGAAGTGTATATTTATCTGAACTAAAGCTTAAGGCTTACAACTAACAAATCATTAATACCATTAATATTAAGTGTTGCCCAAATGCGAGACCTAGTCCTGGTCAAAACAGATCAAACAATATTTACCAATTGTCTATTTTATTTATTCTTTCAAGTATTTGATCCACCTCCATTGAGTTTATTACATCTTTGTTACTATCTGATTTTAGGTTGTTGAGTGTGGGATTGAGGTATTTAGCCAAAATTTTTTCAGTTTTCCCATTGATATTTATGATGATAGGAAAAAGTGGAGAGCCATTTTCATTAATCTATGTATTCTAGGTGTATTGTAGTTAGGGTTAATTAGTTTAATCTCGTTTAATAAGAAAATTTTAAAGTTAATAACAAAGTTCTATTGCAAAAAATCATCTAAAAATAAAATAATCTATCGCAAAACGAAAAAAATCATTTTTCGAAAAATCCCAACAATTGGAAAACCCTCTATTTAACAATTCGTTACCAGCCAAAATTCCAAAACGTTGGCAACAAATCACATGATATCGATGTTTTATTAATTTAGTTGTAAGCTCTAGAGGATAAGGTCAACTCAAGTCTGAGGTGAGCCCCATCACCTTTATATTACATATGGAGAACGAAATACTTAGAAACGACAAAAATCTAAAAATAAACCTTACAATGCTTTTAAGCAGTAAAAGGTGTATTATTAAGACAATCCAAGGATTAAAGACAAAAATAAGTAGAAAGGGGCTATGAAAAAAAAAAAAAAAATATATAGACATTAAAGCAATGCCAGTCTAAAAATGTCCTTAATTATTTATAATTTACCTACGTAAATTAGTGATATTTATTAGTTTATGGTGTATCGAACGACTGTATAATATTTATGTAGAAATCTGCAGTTGGAATATTATGTAATGTTACATTATTATATATTTTTCATTACTCCTTAGAATTTCTGCTATCATAATCATTTATATTCTTTCTCTTCTAATTTTTTATATACTGTTAATATTGTTGTCAAAATAAAATTTCAATGTTGTAATAATATTAGTATTTGTACTATATATTAGCATCAACTCGTTATCAATTGATTTTGGACATTATCTTTTTCTTTCTCTTACTCTCTAACATGTTGTTGGGTTAAGATACAATTTTGAATAATATCTCATTACAAAGAAGACAAAATGCTGAAAATTCCCATCTCTTACAGTATACAGGTCCGAATTTTAGTATCTGATATACTTTAATTCCTATATTTAATTAAAGTCGTTATCATTTTGTTTTGTACATTATTTTTTCCTTTTCGCTTCCCTAACAACGGTTATATTAAAGTTTAATTCCTCAGGAACTTCTGGGACAATTGTTTCTCAAACATTTACAATGAAAAAAGAAAAATAAACACTTATAAATCAATATTAAAAAAGGGATGGTGAGAAAAACAATAATTCAAAAAAACAACAAAGATACAAGCATATGCAGCGTTAACAGATGTTTCAATCCATATCCTCAATAAAACTTGTTATGATTTGATTTTCGACTATATTTTTTTTTTCTTTTTGCCTCCCTAACATGAAGTCACGTTAAGATACAATTTTGAATTATAGCCTATTACAGAGAGGATGAAATGCTGAGTAATTTCCTCGTATACAGTATGCAGGTCTGATTTTTAGCTTCTGAGATATTTTAACCCATATATTCAGCTAATCTCAATATCATTTGGTTTTCGACAATATTTTTTCGTTTTCGCCTCTCTAACACGGCGTCGCGTTAAGAAACAATGTTGAATTATACCTTATTACAGAGAGGATGAAATGCTCAATAATTTCCTCGTATACAATATGCAGGTCTGATTTTTAGCTTCTGAGATATTTTAAATCATATGTGAAAACACTTCAATTAGTCGATTATAGTCGACTTTACCCGAGCGTTAAAATCTGATTTACTCTCCACAAAAAAGTGCAAAATTTAAGTTTTTAATATGTTATAAGTAATATCTTTTTTAATATCTTCAAGGCAGCTCTACTGATCTACACGAACTTTTTCAGGGGCTTAGGTATTTGATTTATTTACGAATTCTCAGAAAAGATATATACTTAACGATCCGGAAAATATAAATAAATACATCCTGGAAAAAATAAATCACCACTTCTATATCTATAAATCCATGCCACATTGCAATATAGATAAACTTTTATTTATTTACAGATAAGTTATTTATGATGAACTGTTTGTATGAATGTAAAAAAGAGTAAATAATGTTTTATTTTAATTCCAGACAAGATTAGTTCCGCCTGTATGTTTCAATTTATTTTTTACTTTTACTTTCAGTTACCTGTTTATAAAATGTATAGTAAGGAAAAGTATTGTGATCGTGAAAATTTTCTAATCTGAGTTTTCAACGGAAATACATAGTTAAAGGTTCCCTGAGTCGAAATAACCAAGTCCCGCAAAATGGTCTGTGTTTGTGTTTGTCAACATTCTAACTCAAAAAACGAAAAGCCGTACGAAAGAGAAATTGTATATTTAAAGTTTTTTTTTATGTTTGGGATGTTACAACAACTTTTTCGTCAAAATCGGCTTACCGAAATTGGCACTTTATATCACGGACTAAACACATTTTTACGTAAACAAAGGAATACGAACGCACCCGAGCTCGCCCGAAAGATTAGAAATTGTACACGGTGGGCCAGACCCCCTTACCGTGCACCCCCCCCCTCTCCCCCCACATCCCTTTAAATTGCATATCGTTGTGTTCCATGTGACAATTTATTAAAAAAAAGCCAATGTTCCCACAAAAAAAAGTGAACGAACTGCCCCAAAATGGCGTCCAAACATGGCGGATTGACGACTTTGACTTTAGTTAGTTTTTTTGTTACTGAGAATCAGCATTTGATTCTATAAGTTGCCCCACATCAGCAACTTAATTTCATTATAGTTGGTCTTTTATTAAAGCTGGATAGTCAGAGAATAATAAAACATGAAAAAATATTAAAAACTAATTGGCTTAGGCATTAAAAAAAATCGGTAAAGTCAATTTTTTTTACAAAAAAATTTTCAAGTTGAAAATCAAGCGTCGTTTGTAATTAAACGGTCAACAACAATGCAAAACGTGCTGAAATAAAACATCTGGAGAATACATTTCTCTATATATATATATAAAACAAATATATAAAACAAAATGTTAAATTGCAAATATTAAATAAAAAAAATCAAGATATTCTGCAAAGTATTTTTAAATTAAGTTTTATTATTATAATTTTATAATTTTTATAATAGAGGCCTTCTTAAGCCATCTCCGTATAGAATAAATGAAGTTAAATTAAAAAAAAATAATAATAATGAAAAATAAAAACAAAAATAATAAATTTAAAAAAAAATAATTTTTTACAATTAAATTATTGTATTAATATTTTTTCGTTAATATAATCAATATAATATAACAAAAACGTTATTATAGCACTATAACTAAGCCATTTATGAGTACTGAGTGGTGTGGTAGAGGCCTGTAGGCACCCACGCCAGTAGCGCTTTTCTGCCGCTTAAGTACATTTTATACGGAACTACTTCAAATATTCTAAAAAGTAGTCAGTGTTTTAGAAAGAAAAATGTATTCTCCAGATGTTTTATTTCAGCACGTTTTGCATTATTTTTGACCGTTTAATTACAAACGACGCTTGATTTTCAACTTGAAAATTTTTTTGTAAAAAAAATTGACTTTACTGATTTTTTTTAATGCCTAAGCCAATTAGTTTTTAATATTTTTTCATGTTTTATTATTCTCTGACTATCCAGCTTTAATAAAAGACCAACTATAATGAAATTAAGCCAAATGCTGATTCTCAGTAACAAAAAAACTAACTAAAGTAAAAGTCGTCAATCCGCCATGTTTGGACGCCATTTTGGGGCAGTTCGTTCACTTTTTTTTGTGAGAACATTGGCTTTTTTTTAATAAATTGTCACAAGGAACACAACGATATGCAATTTATAGGGATGTGGGGGGGTGCACGGTAAGGGGGTCTGGCCCACAGACTATTGCTTCCATATTAAAATGAGCTTAATATAATACGGGCTCCAAAAATGTTATGTAAATATACATTTACGGTTTTTAGCTATTGTTGGTATTATTTAATATTTAATTGTATAGATTACAGCGATATAAATATTAAAATTTATATAAGGGTAGTTAAACAAATAAAAATATCCAAAATGAAATATAAATCCCTTTGTGTAAAAATACTTATTTCTGCTAAGAAGAGGGTGGTAAGTGAAAGTTGTGTGATTCGCGCACCGCTC